TATATACTAAGCAAAAAAATAATTATTATATCATCAGAATTATTTTCCGCAAGTACTCGAGATGAAGGAATAAACTCTATCAGGATAGAACAATTTACTTCATCAGAATAGTGGTACCTCATATTCCGTTAAACTTCGAACTCACTCAACAACAATAAATCACACGAAATTTTATAAAATGCAAGATGAAGAAGAGTAGTAGATTAAAAAAACTTGTGGTTGAAAAATGAGAGGAAACCCCTCTATTTATAGTCAACAAAGGGTAGTATGAACAATTGTTTTTTGTGTCAAGTCACGACCTTTCCGAGAAGTCACAACCCTTTCAAAAAGTGACAACTTATTGAAAAGTTACAACTCTTTGGAAAAGTCACAATTCTTTAGAAAAGTCACAACTCATCGAAAAATCACAACTCTTTGAAAAAGTCATAACTTATCAGAAAAGTTTCAACTCATCGAAAAGGTCACAACCTAAGTTAGGGATATTATAGTAATTTAACATTCAAGTTAGGAGTTCATACTTTTAAGGTAATATAGAAGATAGATAGATAGATATAGATAAACAGAGAAACAAAAGGTTAACATTTTGATACTTTGTATTTAATTTGGGTATCCTACAGAATGAAAGAAAGTTGATTTTTTCATTTTCTGGATCAAAACATTACATCACAAGAATATAAACTAATTTAAAGAAAAACAAGCATACAAATTAATTTTCAATATACAAGTAAAATTGACATTTGGGTCAAAGTTTCAAGTTATGTCTACTGGTAAATTTTCAAGATTACAGAATTAAAATGAGTACATAGACTAATTAAACAGAGTATATAAATTAATTCACAAAAAATCAAACAAACAGCATAAAAATATTAAATATTATGGAGTTTGGAGACTAACCTCTACTTTTACTTCTTAAAATGTTGCTTGTGTTTGGATCCTCTTCCGTATTTCACAATCAGAATGGGGAGGTTTGCTTTGTTTTGAATAAAGATAGTAATTTGATGTCTAAGAAGGTGAAGGGTCTATCATTAATGAGCTATCTGGTGGTGGGAACTTTAGGAGGGAAATTTTCAGCTTTTTACATTCTCTATTTATATTTATTGATAACACTTATGTTGGACATACACATTAGTATATTTTTATTTATTTATAAGTAAATAAAAGAATTCTAAAATATAAAAATCTCAAATAGTCTTGTAGAAAATATTTTAAAATTATCTTAAACAATTAAAGACTTCGTAAAATAATTTAAAGCTTAGAGCACAAAAATATTATTATTCGATTGATGTCTTACGAAATGTGTTGAACATATTATTTATAGGTTACAAAGGTAATACATTAATCAATAGAAAAGCCAATAGCCATCGCCCGAATAAAAAATTGCAAGTTAAATTTGGGATAGAAAATTTCAAATTATTATTCCCGAGATGATTATTTCCAATTGTCTCGCTTTCCTTTGCCACTCAAGTGTACGACATCTTTTGTGCTTAGGCCCCTTCTTCCCTTACGTAATGAAAGAGTCTGCCGCCTGTCTTTGTAGTCTCAAATGCACCAATTGGAAATTCACTCTGACTTCTAAATGGATTTACCGATTGATCAACTAGATTTACCCACCCTTTTCACCTTTTTTCTTTATATGGAATTGAAGTTATATAAAAAATGAACTGACAAAGCGTCTATTCAAGGAGATTGTTGTAGTTTCCGTAGTTGCAAGAATTTCTCAAGATTGGGTTGGTGTGAAATCTACAGACTCTTAAGTGCATTTGTATCGTTCAATACATGATGCCTTACAATTATGTTGAAATTAATCAACAAAAAAGTTCTACTCGAGTGTCCTAATGTATTATGGCCAATAGCCAAAGTTTGAAAATGTGTCAGCTACTATTCATTTTGTTGCGCGTATAATATTTGTTTGATTATATATATGACCTATTCATTCCTTTTATTCCCCTTTTTCAGGTCGCCAAGATACAAATTTCTTCTCTATCATCTTCGTACAATTAATTCTCACCTCTTTAATTTCTCGTTTGGTGATCACGCACCATTCAACAATCTCAATAATGAGTCAACAAACTAATTTCCTTGAACATCTTTTGTTATTCCACACGTGCCCACTAGCAAGTTTAATGTTAAATTTCTTTTATATA